TCAGCCAAAAGTGGTTTGCATTTCAATCCTACACAACATATTTTTTTTCCCGGAATTTTTTGAGTTTTTTTTTTTTTTTTTTGGCGCTGGGGCTGCCCGGAACCCTGCCCGGGGGTCATGCCCTGCCGGGCACCCGGGCGTGTACCCGGGCAGAAGTTGGGTGCCCGGGCGCCCAGGAAACCAGCCTAGTGTTAAGCGCCCCGGATTTGGGCTTCTTTAAGACCTGTCTCTTATACACATCTAGATGTGTATAAGAGACAGGTATAGCGAATATGAAAAAAAAAAAAAAAAAAAAAAACCCGAGCAGTGTAACAACAACAGCCCCGCCCCCCTGTTCGTCCCTCTCCCTGTCTCTTATACACATCTAGATGTGTATAAGAGACAGCCCCTGTTCGTCCCTCTCCTCTGCCGCAGCGTGGCTGCGGCGCGTCCACTTGTAAATTTTAAAGGAAAAAAGTTTAAAAAACTATTTTCTTGACTTTGGTGATGAGACCTGTTTTGTGGGAACCAAAAAAAGTGTAAAAGTTTGGTGATGAGATCCGGCTGTTTGTCTCTCTGTTTGTGACCGTAGATCCAAGCTACGGAGGAGATGAAGCAGAAAATGCGACAGGCACAGAATTGTGCCCTTAGTGAAGAAGCCCGTAAACAGTGAGACTTTTGTTTTCTTTTTCTTTTTTTTTCCTCCTCCCCTTTTTTTTTTCCTTTTTTTTTTATTGAAGGACTTAGGGGCTCTACTTTCCACACGCCTTGAATTGTGATGTCATGAGTAAAGTAGAGTTTGACACAGTATTGCACCCTACTCCCTGCTCTCTGCTCCATGTGACCCTGGCAAATATGTAAGGGACGGCAGACCCATTTTTCCGGCTATTAAAAGAACAGTCATTTTTTGTTAAAAAAATAAAATAAAAAATACTGCACCCTACAATCAGTTCACACCTTGCCATAGAATAGTCTCTTTGCAAAACCGACCGACCGACCGACCGACCGACCGACCGACCGACCAACCGACCTTGCTGAAAGCCAATATTGGGTTGAATTGATGTAATTAAGAAAAGTTGGTTGCTCTTTGGAGAAAAAAGAATTTACTTTTTTAAGGAATTTACCAACATGACATCCTGCGGGTACTTGCCTACTGAAATGCAATGCATGCTAGCTTGTGGGAAAAAGACTGGATCACGGTCATCTCGGCAGTTTGCCGCTGGGGTTGTTGTGAGAAGGTAGATCTACACCGAGAAGCTTTGAGGCAGAGTCAGGCATCGCGGCCTGAGCAAGAGCAGCCATAGCTGCTTTGAGTTGTATTTTGCACATCAGGGGGGCAAGGCCCTAGCAGTCCGCCATAGCCTCGGCCTTCAGGAAGAGGAAGGA